GTTCTTATGCTCTTTGGAAAGAACCTGCTTTCTGGTTTTCGTTATGGGAAATGCACAAGACCCTCCGCAACTTTGTGTAATCTAACCATCCATTCCATCGTTGAAAAAACACACCAAATCCCCCGCAGCCCTCGTCCTCGGTGGCGGCGCGCGAGGGTGGCCCTCCGAGCCCGCTTCCTCGCCACCACCGCGCACTCTCCACTGATCTGCTCTCCCTCGCGACCCGTCACCGCCCCCTCAGCAATCCAAACTCGACTACGATTAACTCTAAACTGCCGGCCCCAAATCCCGTTTCTCCGCTTACATATCTTTCATTGAGTGCATTACATATTAGTGATACGAACTTTATGATCCGATTCATTGCCATGCTTATGAAACAAACGATGGAAAGAAAAGGAAAAAGGCATCTCGTAGCTCAAAGACATCAATATGACGGAGAAGGCAGAAAGAAAACTCGTTCACCTATCAAAATTCATCCCCGGCATCGTATGCCGCTTCCATACCATCCGATATCAGGAGCCCATCGAACAACCTGGCCCCCCGCCGCTCTTCTTCGCCGGCTTGTGGTATGCCGGGGGTGGGAGGGCTGCACACCCGAACTCCCGCCGGAGATACCAGCTGTACCTATCTGGCAGATTAGTCGGCAAATGTATCACGTGTTGAAGTAGGTAAATGTATCAGATCACGTCGTGATCCGACGATTTAAAATTTATAGATTAGTCGATAGTAATCTCGTGAAATTCCGTGTTGTATCACAATAGGGGTTGGTCCGAAATATTTCCAGGACGAGCGGAGTAGAGAGGTGGGGGGAAATTGTTTCGATGTTTGTAGAATTTTTTAAATATTAAATCAAGCATTTATTTTGCGATTTTCCGCATTATTAACCACGGGGGTCGTAAAGTGCCTACATCTTTGACATATCAATTGAATATTCGATTTTGTCATCGGTATAATAATGATTTTTTTGATAATTGCGGCAAATATCAGAAAGCGTGGGGTGGGATGCGTGTACATTCCACTTTTTTCCTTATCGTGCATGAATAAAGATTAGGGTTAATACCACGAAAAACTCTAAACTGGTACACTTGTGACACATTTACTCCAAACTATTTTTTTGACTATAAAAAACCCCAAACTGGTACACCTGTGACAATTTTACCCCAAACATACCACAAAAAACCCTAAACTGGTACACATGTGACAATTTTACCCCGAACAAATTTTTAATATTATTTTTTTGAATTTTTTTGAATTTTTTCTTTTCTTTTCTTTTCTTTTTTTTTCCTTCACCTTCAACCTCTGGCCGGTCGCCGGTCCGGCGACCGGCCAGAGGCGGAAGTCGGCGAGGGCCGCCCTCGCCGGCGTCGGGCGAGCGCCGCCCTCGCCGGATTTGGCGAGGGCCGCCCTCGCCGGCTTCCGCTTCTAGCCTGTCGCCGGACCGGCGACCGGCCAGGGTTTGGAGATGAAAAAAAAAAGAAAAGAAAAGAATAAAAAATAAATAAAAATTCGAAAAAAATAAATAAATAATATTAAAATTTTAATTCAGGGTAAAATTGTCACATATGTACCAGTTTGGGATTTTTTGTGGTAAGTTCAGGGTAAAATTGTCACAGGTGTACCAGTTTGGGGTTTTTTGTGGTCAAAAAAATAGTTCAAGGTAAAATTATTACAGGTGTACCAGTTTGGGATTTTTTATGGTCAAAAAAATAGTTTGGGGTAAATGTGTCACAAGTGTACCAGTTTAGGGTTTTTCGTGGTATTAACCCTAAAGATTAATATCATGAAAAATTTCAAATAGTATGGTTGTGATAAATTTACTTAAAATTAATTTTTGGACCATTATAAATTTTAAACCGGTACACTTGTCATAAATTTACTCTTCGTTAATTTCTGTTAAATTGAATTAATAACACAAAAAAACACAAACCGATACACCTGTGTGACAAATTCATAAATCTATTGCACTTTTGTTAATTCACTTGTAAACCTTTCAATTTTGCCATCTTTGTCACACCCCGAATCCTAAAGGAATAGGGGTAATGACACAGCTGTCCTTCTCTTCACCTAAACCTAAAGGATGCAGCGTCAAAGTCAAGATAACATATCAGAGTTTCTATAAACCATCAAAAGGGTATATAAACATATCCAACAAATGGCTAGCTCAGAAGCTCATCACAGCTATGAATAACTCATACCTAGAAAATCTCGTTATTAAAAAGTCCTCCCGATACACTAACGCTCTCATCCTACTTGCGGCTCGCTGAAGAACTTGAAAAGCAAGTAAGATGAAAGGAATGAGTTACCACGACCTAGTGAGTAATATATTTCTTCCAAGCGGATCGAATAATTACTATGCATCGTTATAAAATGATATCAATCTCATCATCTTAAATTCAATATACGATATACGTAAAATATCGAAAATGTATGATAACTTTCTCACAAAACTTTATATGTACAAGATTATTCAACGAAACTTATTCGACAATAGTAAACAACCATCAATGGTCTAATCCATTGACTAATCTCATCAAATCACATGTTGATGGTCCACTCCATAGACTAATCTAATGTTCATCATCGAACTATGGTCACGTTTAACGCCGTGACAAAGGTGACCAAGTTTACCCCCTTTGGCTAAGTCTACCACCTATGTAGCCGGCGGTTCGACCCAGAAGGACATCCTGACAGTATGCATACTCCCCCCTCAATGGGTTCTCGTCATAGCGATATGAGCCATAACAACTAAAACATTTTTCCAACAACGCACAATCAACACCAGAAAGTTATTTCATAAACCGAATCACTAACCTTCCACAATTCCATTTGTCAATTAAAAGGCATTTCATAAAACATTTTGTAATCAATACGAACTATATTTGGAAATTCCTTTCACTAAACATTTAACCAAAACATTCACAATTGGTCATTTTAGGCCACTTCATAAAACATTCTCAACAACTTTTCAATTGACTAAAAAGATAGCAAAAGTTCGATCCAATTTATGCAAGAAACATGCTCTTAATGACTTATACTAAATTAAAACTCTACTATTTTCAAGACATGAGTCTGTAAATTCATGGAAGAAATAATACCACTCACCTGGGAAAGCTGAAAACCAACCTACGACGGTTAATCGAGCCGATGCACTCGAATTCCTATCAATTAATTGAAAAGCGATGTTAAAATCTAAGTAAAACACTACTCCAACGAGCTGACTCAACTAAACCATGCTCAACCGTCAACTAAACGACTCCTTAGCACTAACTAAGAAGCTTGTTTATAACAAATGTTCATCTTTCTCTGTTATGGATATTATCCGCTACGCGTAACTCGCACGCGAAACTTTGAAATTTCGTTCCAAACAAACCATACTTCAAAATCGAGTTTCGTCAAGCACCACCGCCCCGCAACACACTAGGCTATGATTTCCGTAAGAACCGCAGCTCAAAAACTCTTCAATTGAACCTCGTAGTTTAAAATCAATATTACTTCAAATTTGTGCCCTAATTTTCGAAATCACTCTGAGTAGACGAAGAATGGGCTTGAATACTTACCAAGCGTTGCGATTCGCAATTGATTCGGCTTGTTGAGGTGTCCGGATCAGCTACACACAACAATTTTTCCTTTTCCTCTTTCCCTTCTTCTCGTTTTCTCCGTCGGCTGCAGCTTCTTATTTTCCTTTCGTGCTTCAAATGCACGAGCTCATGGAGGAAAGAAGGCGGGTTAATAGGCATGGGCTTTTAAGAGGCATGGGCCGGGTTTAGATGGGGCCCTATATTACAATCTTAGTCTTAAATATTTTCACGTTTTGTCAATTGAGTCCATCCGATCAACTACCTCGCCTCCGTTTGCGGTCAATCCCGACCCCTTAGCCACCTCCTAATCAGTCCTTATCAGTCCCACCGATCAAGCTCTTCAGCACAACTTGACCTTTCCAGCGCTGGTTCATTAGGTCGTCGCTCCCATTGCATTGCACCTTTTTGCTTTGCTACATTTTATTGTGGCATTTCGGCTCAAGTTCAAGGCCACAGCATTTTATCGTGGCGTTTCGGCTCAAGTTCAAGGCCACAATAGATTGTCGTCGCCGCCAGAGAGGCAGCTGGGCATAGCGAAGAGGCAGCTGAGCGCCGAGGAGAGGCGGTGGTTGCGAGAAAAATCCAATTCTCCTTGTGTGCTACCCCTAATCTTTTTTTTGTTCGGGCTATAATCCCTTTTATCTTGTCCTTCTGACTTTTATTCATACAACCAAACACAGCCTAAACTCTCATAAGACAGCCTAAACTCTCGGAAGACAGCATGGCATTGGATGCAACATGATCGCTCGAAGGAGGAGCTGGATCAGCACGGAACGTATGGTAATTCTCCTGTTAAGAATGGGAACATCTTTGAGCTTTTGCATGGGTTGGGAAGAAGCTCAACTAATGTAATTGGACAGCAAAGGCGCATTCATGGTTTGATCATCGAGGTTTGCTTCGGAATCATCCGCAGATTGCAAACGGGTGCGGCTTTCGGTCTTTGCAATCTGCTTGTGCAACAGTCCCTTAGTATCTTGCATAATACAAACGTATGTTGTAACTTAGAACCATGTTTTATGTCCCACGTCGACTCTCCATCGGAACAGTACTATCGAATCGGAGGGAAACGAAGAACTTCCGGTGCATCTCACAGAGAGTTGAAGTTTTGAGTAATTGAGCGTGGCATTTGGTCTGGTTCTTATGCTCTTGGAAAGAAACCTGCCTTCTGGTTTTGGTCATGGGAAATGCACAAGACCATCCTCAACTTTACCAAATCACCCGGAGCACCTGTCCCCGGCGGCGGCGCGCGGGCGGCCCCTCCGAGCCTGCCCCTCGCCACCACCACCCTCCTCCTCTCTGAGGTCATCGATGACCCCCGATCGAGGTCGGCGGAGCGGTGATGCTCGATCATCTCGACGATCCGATTCAATGCCATACTTATGAAACAAATAACCGAAAGAAAATAAGCCAAAACGAAAGGTCAAGATCGCTAATTTAGCACCCATGAAACCGATCCATTTCATTTACACATCATGAAGAAAAAGGAGGACATCTCATATAGCTCGAGACATCATCAGTTCAGAACAAAAGGGGAAAAGGCGGGAGGAAGGAAGACAGCAAAGAACAAGAAAGAAAACTCAGTTTACATATCCAAACCGTCACCGAACCCGGCGTCGTATCCGGCGTCGTACGACGACACGTCCGATATCGCGTCCCCGATGATCATCCCGCCGAGCAGCCCGCCCACCAACCCCATTCCCAACCCCGCGGCGCCGCTGCCGTGTTTCTTCGGCGGCTGCTGGTATGCCGGCGGTGGGGCTGCGTACCCGTATCCCTGCGGCGGAGGGTAAGCGTATCCCTGCGGCGGAGGGTAACTGTATCCCGGCGCGGCGTTCGGCGGATACATGTACCCCTGCGGCGGATATCCCTGCGGCGGAGGGTACGACGACGCCGCCCCGTGCATCGGTGGCGGCGGGTACGCGGCGGCCGGGTACGCCATGAACGGCTCGCCCGCCTTCTTCGCCGCTGGCGCGGGGGGCACCGCCACGGTGAACGGCTCGCCGAACTTGTAAGAGAACTCCAGGACGCCCCTGGTCTTCCCGGACGGCAGCCTCACAGCGTAGCTCATCGCCTTGGGCTTCCCGTCGCCGCCCTGCTCGAGCAGCTCCCCGACGGGCACGACGGCCCTGCCGACGTCCTTGTCGCCGCCGAGGGTCCGCTCGGCCTTGATCTTGAGCTTGAGGGTGAGGCGGCCGGCGCGGGCCGCGGTCACGTCGACGGTGAAGGCCGTCAGGGCGTGGCCCCAGCGGGGGGACGTGCCGCCGTCCTTGTGGACGGGGGTGCGCTGCTTCCCCTTGTTCCGCTTGTCGCCGGAGAGGGAGGCGACGACGTAGGGGTCCATCTTGCCGAAGACGTTGGCGTCCTTGAGGTCCTTGGCCGAGATCACCGTCACCTCCAGGGGCCTGCACTCCATGTCGTCCGCCGCCGCCGCGAAGAGCCCTCGAAAGATCAGACAACAACCACCGCCACCGCCCACGGCGGAGAAGACGAAGATGAAGAAGAAGATGAAGAAAATGAAGAAGAACCGACGATTTTGCAGAGAGATTTTTCGCTTGTCGTTTTTCTGAGAGCGATGGAGCGGAACGGCGGTGGCCGAGGGTCGTATTTATTCGCGAGGCTGGATGAAACGACGTCGCATGGGGGGGGGGGGGAGAATCTCGGGGATTTTTTAAATATATTTTGTTCCATATTTAGCTAATTAATATTAATTAAGGGAATTAATTAATTCATTGCTTATGACGCGGGAACGTAGGCAATCCTTTAGATCTTTCCTTTGATGCGTTGTCGTTTGCCCCTTTTTTTAGGGTGGGCCGTATACGCGCGGTGAACGCGCCGTGTACTTTAACCGATCAATCTCTACGCGTAGAAGACGAAGCTTCCTATTTTCTGCGTGCGAATTTCACGAGAAGAGATAAAAAAAAAAAAATTGCTGGAATTTTCGCTCGCCTCGCATTTTTCTTTTGTATTCGGAAAAATTCTCGAGTGTCAGAATATTTAAATATTAAATTATGTATCAATCCGGAGGATGGAACTTTTGCGACGGTCGGCAGTGACCCTAGAAAATTTTACGTGATTTCTGGACGTGGGTCGGCCCCGAATTTTTCCGGAAACGTGTGAGGAGGATCGTCCGGTGCTTTTTGTGCCTTCGTTTTGAAATGCCGCGCGTCGTCGAGCGAGGATGTCGAGGGTGTCGAGATCTCGTGATTTTGCTCGGATAAAATATTCGGTTTTTTTGTCGTTAGTTAAATTGGATTTTGATGCCGAAGTCAAAGGCAGCGAATATCGGCCGAAAAAGGAAAAAGAATGAAAAGAAAATGAGGGTCACCGTCGGCCGTCCCAAAAGTTTCGGTCGTCGGATCGATACACGATTTATTATTTATACATTCTAACCCTCATGACGGGAATTTTTCTTGAAGGAAAATAAGAATGACGAGAAAGCGACCAAATTTTTACGTGATTTCGGAATGTGGGTCGGATGAGGAGGATCGTTCGATGCTTTTTGCCTTCATTTGGAAATGTCGGGCGCGGATGTCGAAAGTGTCGAGATCCTGTAATTTCCTTGAACAGGATATTCTATTTATTTTGTCGTCGATTAAATTGATTTCGACGAAAAAGTTAAAATGCACGGAATATCGGAAAAAAAAAAAGAAAAAGAAAAAGGAGCGATGGAAATGAAAAGAAGACAGTGAGAAAGCGCGGGGGGGTTGGGTGGATGCGCGTACATTCCGCTTTTGCTTTTCCTTATCGCGTAAGAATAAAAGCGATCGCGACGTGCATTTATGACGTCACCTCCTTCTTCTTCTTCTTTTTAATGCTTCGGCACTCTTCTGGAAATTCCCAGAAAGGTCGATAATTCCTTTTTCTTTTGTGCTTGATCTCAAGTGAATTTCAACTCTGGTTTAAAAAAATTAAAATCAATTTTTAAATTGAATGGAGATAGATCAGTGGACTTATCCCAAATTTTTGAAACGCCTTATCCATGGTCAGTTTCTTAATGGCCTAATTCCCTAAAAAAAACATCAGCTTTAGATCTAATCTCAATTTTGTCTCGAGCTAATCTTAAATCTACCTATGTTTACAAAGATCGTTGTTAGTTTCTTGAAAATTATCAATATCAAGGCAAGATCGATACCCTCACTTTCGTAAGGGATAACAACAATCTCTTGCCGTCGATAATTTTGAAGAAACCAGTGTCGACTTTTGGGCGTACGGGCAGATTTGAGATTAAAGTGAAAGTTCGGGATTTATTTTAAGACAAAAAAGAGTGTGGGGCGGAATTGAGATTTGACCTAAGAGTTGGGTTTTTTTTTAGGGGATTAACCCGTTTCTTAATCAGACGACTAATAAAAAGTAAGCAACATCTACTAAACGATAAGATAACATCTAAAATCTAACTAAATGAATTTTGAAAAGCAAATAACATGACCCCAATTTCTAAAATATTACCTACAAACAAAATAAGTTTTTGTTTGTGCTTTGCTTTGGACAGGGTCAAATTCCTTTCTTTAAGCCAAAATTGTAAGTGATGCTTCTAAGATTTGAGTTTGGAATGATCGCTCGAAAAAGTCAATTGCTAGAGAACGACACTTATACGAAATTACAAACTTTGGTTCGACGGGTGCTTTGATTGTAATTGTAGATAGTTGTTGAATCTTGTCTTTATCAACGTGTCTACTCTTTAGATTCAAAGTTGACAGTGAAAATCGTTTGTTTTCTTCACTTTACTTCTTTCGGCATCCTATCTAAGCTTAAGGCTTCATTAAGTGGTTTCTAGCTTCGACTTATTGTACGGATAACACAGTAGACAGAATCGATCGCAATGCAGAAATCACGCGAAAAAGTTATAATCGAACGAGTTTGCTCGTTTTTAAGAGATAAGTATACTGGAGGTCCTAAATCTTATTATGAAAGTGCAATTGAGTCCTAAAACTCTCAAAAAGTGCAATCAAGTCATAAAACTTGTCATGAAAGTACAATCGAGTCTTAAAACTTATCAAATTAATCCAATTAAGTCATTTCTTTGATTTCACTTTTTGAGAATTTCAGAACTTGATTGTACTTTCGTGACAAATTTTAGGATTTTTAGTGAACTTATTTCGATTTTTAGCATGTACTTGATATAGTTTATTAGATTAGAGTTGCCCCGATAATCCGTGCCAGCTTTATTTCGAGTCCCACATGAAGATTAGTCACTTCTAGGGAACTTTAGCTGGACCTAGGAAGCTGCTTTATATCAAAATTCCAAATGATGATTGATGCCACACCGCCATTTCACTTGCTGGCTCTGACATGTTCTCCAGTCAATTCGATGGTTCACATGTTCTCCTTTATACCGTACCTTTCTTGCACAACCAATTGCTAAATCTTTTTCCTTACTTGAAATGGTAATTAGGGCAGAGATGACTCATACTTTGTATCAGACGATAGTCTGATTTCTTCGGAAAAATCAATAATACACGAGGTACTCAATCGACGTATTACATGGAAAGAGAAGTCAAACTTTGTTCATCAGGTATTATTCACTCCTTGTGTTAGTGTAATTCTACACCAATTGCATCCTTGTTTATCCTAATTACCTCGATGACTCGCCAACTCTTGTTGATAACACCCTTCTCTCTTCTCGCGTTCTTTTGCTTTAAGGCAGATCGATGCTAGACCGGATGGCCAGCTTTTCGGATTTCTTGTCGATGTGGCTGCATTCTTTGAGAAGCTCCCTGATGTGGACATGGAACTCGCCCGTCGAGCTTCTTTCGGATGTGACGCTTCACTTTGATCTCAAATGTCAGTCTTGGGCCGTCGTGATTAGGCTGCGCGATCGATAAGCACGGGTCTGTAGCGCAAACATTTCGCTTTTCTCTTGACAAAGAATAAGATGAACAACGTACCGGCACGTCTACAATGAGCTAGAACTCGTAAGGCATCACCTTTTTTATTCTCCTCATACAAAGAACAGGGTTAAATGGGCAAAAAAGGAAAAAATCTTCGGTAAAAGCTGTCGATGTTGTGGAGGACTCCGAAAATTTCAGACATCGTCAACTTTTGGGCTTGGAGGTGTTCCGGTGATCCAAGTCCAAATTCCGCTGGAGTTCTGCCTTTGCTTTGCCATTAGCACAGCTTGTTCGGAAGCAGCCTTTTGTCGCTGGAGGAGTTCAAGCTCCTTTTGCAACGTCTCCATCATTTGCAGCTTCTGCCTTAGTTCTGCCACATCGACCTGCCAGAACATATCGAGCACTACGTTAGTGAAAAAGAGAGTAGCCTTATGAATTTCGATTGTTAATCAGAAGCCTATTTCACATGCAGCAGTCCATGACTCTGATCCGCTTAAGTGCCTGTGTCAGTGTCAATGTGGAGTTGAGCCTGCAAGGTGATTGATTATATAAAGATCTCCCCTGATTAAAGGCCTAAACCAAATCCTATTCCACGCCCGTCCTGCAATGCCTGTTCTGCATTCGGGTCGATATATATTTATAGTGGAGCATGATTAACACAAGTTGGGAATTTCTTGGGAACCATTGTGATGAACAAGGCAAGGTGCGACCGCATTCAGAGATCATAAAAAATGTACAGTAGAGGCATCAAATCACTTCTCAGAACTTTGCTGTTACTTCTAGAGACAAGAAGAACTAATCCAAGTGCAGAACAAGGGAAGTGGAGTTTCTAATAACCAGCAAGTACCTCAAGTTTGAAACACCTTGACTGCTCTGCCGCAAGTTGACCCCGCACGGACTGAAGCTCCTGCATGTGCAGTTAAATATGTTAAAGCCTTGTAGCCTTTCAATTATCAAGGCAGAGAAGATTATTAAACATTAAACCTGAGGACTCTTGTAGATGTTCAAGTTGGTAAACAGAGCCTGTGATATCTCTGCCATTATCATTTCGAGACTTTTTTTTTTTTGGTAAGGAATCATTTCGAGACTTTGAGTCCATTTAAGTGAAGAATTTCCTTGTTATGCTGTCCATACAAGACATTCCACTAATACGATCAATATTTTAGAAAACACTATAAACAACCTTTGTTCAATAGCCTAGGCTAACAATACATGATGGACAAAGAATTGTCCACTTTTAGCCCTGAGACTGGAAAACAAATTCCTACAATGCTAATGTTTCACGGAAAGAGCGTTCTATCTTAATTATAAATTAAACAAAGTGCTCCAACAAAGGGATTATATGTTACAAAGTTGTCCAATAAAGATTACAGTCAAGACATACAAAAACAAGCCATACCTTGTACAGATCGGTGTTGCGAGTCTCAGCTTCTGAGATTTCTTGCTTTGATTGAAGAGACAACAACTTCTCCTTGCTGAGTGAAGATTCTAATTCTTCTTTCTCTGCCTTGAGGGTTGCCAAAAGATGTTCTGCAGTTCCCTCATTTCTTGATTTCTGTCCAGGATATAAATGAGTAACACGAAGAAATACAAAAGGCAGAACACATTGCTTAAGAAACAAACGCAACAAACTTGGAAATCCAAAGGAAGAATAGTGCACATGGTAGGGCTCCTCAATGGATCAGAA